TCTCATAAGATTTAATATTTTTAAAATGTGAATCTGGACTGGAAGAGAATCTTGATGTTTAAGAGATCTCCTTTTTTGACATCCTTGTCAAATATACTTACTTCTTACTATTAGAAGTATAATTGATTCCAAATTTTTGCACATATCTGTAAAGTTAACCATTGTCACTCACTTGTATATTATTTTATGTAGATACAAGTGTTTTCAATATTGGAAAAATGAGCTTGCCATTTTGTCAGGGTTTGGATATCATGTATTTTAGGATGACCTGACAGGCAGATTGGCTGTGCACTGTAAGAAACATTTTTGCAAAGAATAAAAAATTTTTTTGAAACTCTAAGAGTTAATACTTAAGAAACTCAAGATTTCTTAAGGAGAGTACTGTATATTGAAACACATGGAAAAAAAAAGAAAGCACATGGAGTAGAAACCTACATTACTATGAAACTAAAGAAAAAACGTAATAATAGAATTTCACGTGTCTCTGACCAGTGTGTTACAACTTCTTGTCAGTAGGTTAAAAAAAAAATTGCTCATGTAACCAACTGAGATATGTAAGCGTAGTTTATAACCTATCTAGAGGGAATTTTCGTACTTTACAAGTGTTTTGATACTTTCAGTTGAAGTGTATTTTTTGAGTGCTCGTATGTTGTAGCCACTGTCTTCTTTACAACATTCCTCTGAGATAAATTATTCTTTTTTAAAAATTTTTTTATTATTTTATTTTATTTTTTTTTGATAAATTATTCTTGACATATCGAGAAACTAAACGAGAGATTAGTTGACTCTTATTACCAAGTTCTAGTATGTATTAACTTGAATTGGGGTGTATATAAATATATTGGAATTACTATTGTATTATCCCCAACTAGACACAGAAGTTTTAAAATTTGGCACATTTTAATTTGTTTATTTTTTATATTCTCAGTGATTGACCATTTGGTATTATTTTTCACAGCAGGAGGAAATTGAGATCATGATATAACTTGAGCTTTTTTTTTTAAGCAATAAAGCTGAAATGTAGTATGTAATAGTGTTGGTTTAACCATAATCTCTTCCTATCTTTGGAGTTGTATGAAAATGAAAATGTTCTGGTTATAACAGAACATTATTACTTTATATTATTTGGGATTATTTATATTATGTGGGATGCTCAGATTATGAATGGTTGAAATTGAGACTCTTAGATGCTCAGAATCAGTACAGAGGTCTGCTGAATTAATTTTTCTCAAGAGTGAAACAGTTAAAAAATTCTGCTATCTTTTAATAAATGGGTAGACTGATGGATTTCACAATCCAGATTTTGACATTGTTTTGAGGGTGTTTTAACTAGTAATAAAGTTTTCAACTCTGAGGGATTTTAAACTAAAGATGTTTTGTGGCATTTCTTCTTTGGGCATTTAGTCACTAAAAATATGAGCTATAAATAGAAACCAAGTAACAGGTTCATTACATTTTTGCTTAATTCACATTTGTGATGTACAACTTTACTACATTAAAAATTTTTTTTTGTCATGATATTTTCTAAGGGGTATATCCTTAAATTCCATTATTTTTATTAAAAGATACCAGTTTTTCTGCTCTGGAACAGAATTTTACAGATGTGATGTAATATTGGCTATTGGCTTAATTTATAAGTATTAATCAGTGATGAACTTATTCCTTGAGTTCACATTTAAACTGTGGCATGTTGAAATAATCTAGGTCTCCATCTGCACATCTGAATTCATTTTGTAAAATATGGCAAACAGCTGCATTTCAATTGAAAGCTAAAACAACTGTAGGACATTAACCCATTGAGAAGATTACAGTAGGTTTTCAGTTCCATGTTAACTATATTTATTAGAGAAAATTGACTTGAGTGCTTCTGCTTTTAACCGACATTTATTTTTTTTTAATGTCTGAGAGATAGGAAATAAAGCATTGGAATGATAGGACTTTGATGTGTAAAAAAGTTAATGTCTAAAGAAGTTAATTATCCCCATCATCAAACAGAATGTGGGCACAGGAAATAATTTTAAAGATTCTAATGCACTATCAGCTCATCATGTCAAGAAAAATGTTATCCACCTGTTTGACTTAAGAATTAAATAACTTGACTGTGAAAGGATGATCATGGTTATAATAAACTGAATTGGGACCTTTTCCCTCTTACTAATAAATACTCTTGATATGAAACATTTGCAGTAGGGGCAGAATCTAAGAAAGCTGGAGTTTTGCTATGAAGTTACTTTCTGAAATGTCTCCTCTTCAGAGAGTGTTAAAGCAAGGTGACTGGATTTGCAAAATGAAAAGGGGGGATTACTCTGGCAGTATCTCAGGAGAGTCCCACAGAATGGCATGCCTTCAGATCTGACATGAGTCAGCTAAATCATAACTGCTTTTGGAGACTGGTGTTAACACGTAATCTTTAACATCTCCAGGATGTCGTATCTCTTGTCAGTTTCTCTTGGGACAAGTGAAATATTTTCTAAGTTCAGTGGGATAGCCAAGTTCCTTTTTTAATCACTGTGTCCTGATTCTGTAGGACTGTTCCTGGAAGTACTTGCTTTCCTGTCTTATTTTTCCCCAATCTGGGACTGAATGATAAAATAAGTTTTTTTTTTTAAAACTGAGTTCCAAATGGTGTTTCCTCTTTCCCTCTAATATTTGTAGCAAAAAAGTACTTAACCACCCGCCCCCGCCCCCCCAAAAGTCTTTGTAAACAAACAGGAGAAATTTAGGCTTAAAAAGATCAATGGGTTTTCACCGCATTAGCTTCTTTATTTTAGAATTTTGGTTTTCAGGCTCAGTTTGAGTGAAACCTTTTTCTTTCTGTTTCACTGCTATTACATTCTCTGTTGAATGATCTTTGCCTGGCCTTAGGCCCCTTAGATTAGACCGGGGCTTATGTTGGCAGAGAGTTAGTCCTGCTACAGGATGATATTGGGATGTTCCAGATCTAACTACCCAGCTAGAATGCTGCCTGCCTTAGGTCTCTGTCATTTTGCTTTCTCAGAAGCTTTTTATGTGGCCCATCTCAGACAGTAGTTTGTATTAGTTAATTTTTGAGCTTTCACTCATGAAAGTGAAAGTGAAGGTCACTCAGTCTTATCTGACTTTTTGTGACCCTATGAACTATACAGTCCATGGAATTCTCTAGGCCAGAATAGTGGAGTGGGTAGCCGTTCCCTTCGCTGCGGCATCTCCCCAACCCAGGGATCGAACCCAGGTCTCCTGAATTGCAGGCAGATTCTTTACCTTCTGGGCCACCAGGGAAGCCCACTCTCTCCCTCATGGGGCTCTGCCTTTCCATCTCAGCCTTTGGTGAATGACTGGTTAAGGTTTCCGTTATCAGTTTTAGTCTCCGTTGCCCACCAAAGTGGTCAGGTTAGAGGATGTATTAAGAGTACATTTGACAGCAGTGTGGAGAGTGAACTGAGATGCAAGAAAGAAGCTAGAAATAGAACTCAACAAGAAAGGGAGGAGGTAGAAACATAAAGTAGAATTTATTGGACTTCTTAGCAAATTTTAGGGTGCAGGAGAAGGAATCAAGGATGATGACTTGAGATTTTGAGCCAGGCAGACTAGTAGCAGCACTGTTGTCAGTGTGAAAGCAGAACTTATTTTGTAAGGAAACTGATGAATATTTGTTGAATTGTATTGAGGTCTTCTAGAGAAAAGATTCAAGTTTCTTAAACTTTGTGATGGTGAAGTAAAGATAATCTAAATTTGTCATAGAAGTTCTTAGCACATCAAGAAAGGGAGACTTCTTGAGTTCTGTTTATAATAGTTAACATTGTATACTGACTGCTTAGAACTGTTCTGGATGCTTTGTTCATGTTAGTTCATTTAATCCTTACAACAACCCTGATAATTGTAATCCTTACAATTGTAAGGATTATTGTAATATTGTAATTACAATTACAATTGTAATTACAGTTGTAATATTGTAATCCTTACAATTATCATTACCATTTTACAGATGAGGTTACTGAGGTATAAAGAAATTAAGGAACTTGCCCCAAGTGCTAGTAAAATAGTGGAACTAGGCTTCTAACCTTTGCGGTCTGATTCTTGACTCCTCATTGTTTTTGTTATATTTCTCAGTACTGCTTAATTTTATTATATATTTTAGATTTGTTAATTCCTCTTTAACTCTGCAAACTTTTTTAAAGAAAGTCATAGTATTGAAAAATTTGTATAAACATAAAATAGTAACTAACATTTGTTGAGCACTTCCTGTGTCCTTGAGATAAAAGCCAAAGCTTTTATCTACTTTTATTACCTAAATGTTTTTTTCACTAATTCTTATCTATGGGACTGCCACATACAGTAAATAAAATGGTGTATATTAGGATTGGCATCTCGTTTTCCCGTTATGCATCAGCTTAATTTTATTGGGAAAAGAAATCACATTTTAAATTGGTGAATATTATTTAACCATAAGACTGTAACATACCACAATGCTAACTTCTGATCTACTGATTGGTTTTATTTCTGTTATTCGTATTTTTGGCTGTGGTTCAAATGGGAATTAGGTCATGTTTTGGTTTTGTAATTTTGTATCTTACAGCTGTGCAACTTTTTCTTTAAATGAAATGTTACTTGAAACCCCAATATATAAAATAGAAAAATCAGAGTTCTTGTGTTCAGGATGGCCAGGGGGAGCTCACTGAAACTGGGAGCTTACTGAAATATTGCCAGGGAATCTTAGGGCTCCCTGGAACACATTTTGAAAACCACTGAGCTCTATTAAAATACCTTAATGAGTATATTTCTCCCAATACTTACTGTAAAATATGTAATGAAAAGTTTATCGCACAAGCAATTTCTTGATATCATATTTGACTAAGCAGTTTTATACCTTGCTATTTGATTTTAATGAAGAACAGGTATGGACAAATCAGAATTTAAAAAATTTTTGTGGTTTTTTGAAGTAATTTATAATTGCTTCTGTTTTCTATGCATTTACTTATAGCTAAATACATTTTGTAAGCTGAGTTCTCTTTTTTATTTAGATGAATAATACTGCAGCCAGCCCAATGTCTGCTGCCACTTCTAGCAGTGGAAGAAGTACAGGGAAGTCTATAAGCTTCACAGCAGAATTGCAGAGTATGATGTGAGTATGGCTGTATGTCTCACCACTCTTTTAAGTTTGTTCATGTTGACAAAAGACAGCGGAGATAACAAGATTGTAAAACTTAACTTGAAAATTTGTACTTAAGTAAAAAATGAAATAGTCTGATAACATTTTAAATAGCCATGTATAGAAGGGGCAAATTGGTTGAAAATGCAACAGTGATACTGTCTTCTGAAAGTATTGGTTCATCTTCATAAAAGAATGAATACTCATGTAGACATTTGTGCCCTAATTATTATCTACCCAGATCTGTATTATGGATTGTTTATTGTATTTTAGATTTAGAAAATTTTGACATTGATCATATTCTTGGATAGTTGGAAATATTTTCACAGAGTTCTCAAGTTTTTCTCAAATGTCAGTCATAATAATTCCATGAACCTCCCTTGGTTTTCAGTTTTGATAATATTTCTGTGTTTCAGAACTGGAGAAAAAACTTAGGACATTTAAAAAACACATTTATTTCATTTTTCAGAAATTGCATATTCATTAAGATTTCTTTCCTAAGGCTCTTTTCTGCTTGATTTCTGGCTTCTTTCATTGAGACTGCATAACTTGATCGATGAGAGGTAGCAGATTTATTAGAAATGTCTGCTGGCAGGTATTAGTTTTTCTGTATTATTGGCTCAGGAGACAATTTCCTGCATATGGGGACAGCAAGTTAGAGCTCTTCCTTTCCTGTGGCTACATTATTCATGACACAACCAGCAATTCTAAAAGAATGTTTCTGTTGAAGTTTTAAGTGGGTGTATATCGCTCGTCTTCATAGTGGATTAACTCCCATGTGTGATGATTATCGTTCAGAGGAAAAATGAGTTTGAGCATGTATCTGATAGTTGCTTGGTAAACATACTTTAAACAGCATTGAAAACACTCAAGTCACAAGTTCTCAAACATTGGTCCTGGGATCCCTTTAAACTCTCAGTTATTGAAGACCTTAAGCAGTGTTTGTTTATATGAATTGTTTCTATTATTATTCATTGCTTAGAGTTTAAAACTAATAAAAATGATTCGTGTGAAAAATAATAAGCCTATGATATGTTAACATAAGTAATATATACCCTATAAAATAATTACTTTCTAAAACCCAAAATTGGTAACACATTTTGTAAGGTAAGATGAGACTAAATTAAATGTGTTAATTTAGGAGTTGTATGAGATTAGGCTGTCTTTTACATTATGGAAACTTTTAAGGGTTTATGCTTGTATACACTTTGTGTATTTAAAGATTTTAGCTATAGTATAGTAGCTTTATGCTAAAATTTTATGTTGTACTGTTAATTATGTTTAAAAACTACTAAACATGTTTTGGAATGTTTATAATAAAGCAAAGAAATTCATTTTCCTGTAGAGCCAGTTCATTAATTTACTTTGTAATTTTAAAAACTTTTAATTTTGAAAATTTCAAACTCATAAAATCATTGGAATAGTATAGTGAACTCCATACATCCATCTTCAGACTAACAGTAATTGTGTTTTGCCAGTCTTCTTTAACCTTTCTCCCTACTACTCACTTTTTTAAAATGAAATTATTTTAAAGCAACTCCAAGCTATCTTATTTCAAACTTGGTATTATTTATTAAAACATTATATTTATTATTAACTGAAAAAACATGCTTTATAGCTGAGGTCAGCAAGCTATAGCCATAGACTGGCTGCTTGTTTTCAAAAATGAGATTTTACTGGACCATAGTCACAGGCATTGTTTATCTATTATCTATTGCTGCTTTCATGCTTCATGGCAGAGTTGAGTGACGGAGACCATATGGCCTGTAAAGCTGAAAATATTTACTATGTGGTCCTTTACAGAAAGTTTGACGACCCCTGATCTATAAAAACAGCTTTCTGTAAGAAGAAAGCTGTATTTCCTTTTGTCATTTATGCTTAAAAGAGGTTCTACTTAGTGCATTGGATAGACTGTAGGCCACTTAAGAAAACTGAGAAAAAAAGAAAATAAAAGCTAAATTCAGCACTTTCTTATTAAATACTTTTGCAAACATCTTCCCAACTAATGTGCTTAAGCTGGATTCAGAATGCAAAAGTTATTGTTGGCCACAGCTTTGGAAGAAATGTACATTTTCCTTCTATTTCAGACCTCATAGAGAGGCTACTCCTAATAGTTACATTCATCATTTATAGTCTGAAGTTATTTTTTTCTTCTTATGAATTGCTTCATAGAATAGGAAAATGGGGCCAAGATTAGGGGAATCCTTTTTTAATTTACCAATATTTTCTGATGGCATAATGTTTTCAGGCTTTTGATTGTATAAAATTAGAATCTATATGCATTTGATCCTTGCTTATGTGATTTTAAATGAGAAAGTGTAGCCTTAAGTCTCTGTGTTTATTTCATGTTGTAGGAATTTCATTCTATAAATCTTTACTTTTTTTCCTCTGCATTTTCACAGTTCTTCTAAGCCCTTGTGTATTGTGTTGCTTCTTTTAATCCTCTCCAGCTACTGTCTTCCCCAGCCATTCACCACTAATGAGCTGTTTTTTCTTGACTCCATGACCTCTAAATAAGTAACCGTATTGCAGTGTCATTTCCAGGGATGGCTTCACTGAAAGGTGTCTAGCTGTCAGGCACAAATGGAATTGTCAGGATCTGCCTTTAAATACAGAGCTGGCAGCTGGTCTGTCTTCCTATAGAGGCTTGATAGGACTGACCATATTTTAGGTTTGGGTGAGAAATACTATATGAGTGCAGTATTCTCTAGGACATGCTTCAACAGATTTTAAACTAAAGGACTGGCAGTCAGTTCCTGGGGGGTTGGGAATGACAGCAGCTTTACCTTACCTATGCTTGTAACTTAACACTTTTGCTTTATGCTCCTTATCACAGCTTTTTGAATAATATGTGCTAGGAAGGGTCCAGAGGCTTTTCATTTTAAAGTTATTGAACTCAAGTAGCCTGTAAATTAGAAAGTAAAATCTTTTCAACCCACATTGCAGGAATTTTGAACGATTTATTAAATAATTTAAATTAATTTAAACACACTTCAAGGAATCTTCATTGAGCTTTCTCTTCCTTATTTTACTCCCTTATAGATTTCTTTGCTTGGTTATATTGTACTCTTGCAGGTTTATAGGCCTGGTGATAATGTCAGGTTTCCCTGCTTGGTAGCACTTAGTAATTCTCATGTGACCAAATTAAAAAAAAAAGGATTTTGTTTGCATGCTGCTTATATTTTCTAGAACTCTTCCAAGTGAAATTTCATCCTTATCTAAAATCCACAGGGTGAAAAAAGTGTTTTCTAAATCAGAGTTTTCTTTATAGACAATGAAATTCACTCTTTTAGTTGTACTATTATGCAAGTTTTACGTTGTTTAAAAAAGCAACATTGTTGAGCCCTTGTATGGCAAGACCTGAATGCCTTCAAGGTAGTCTAGCGGTAGAGGTGAATGAATGTCACGTGACAGGATGTGAAAAATTCCATGGTAATACAAAGTGGGGAGTGATGATCTGAGTGTAGTCTTCCTGACTTTAGGTCTGTAGTCTTGACTACTTTCTGGAACATCCATTAAGTATTCTGTTAGCAGCTCAAACTTAGTGTGTCCAAAAATGAACGAGTAATTTTCTCAGTAAGATTTGCTTCTTCTCTTGGGAATTTTGGGATAAATAGCAATAACCATATATACATTGCTACACTAGAGTAAGGGCACAGTTGTGTATGTGAAATGGTATCCTTTGGCTATTATATAACATTAAGAAATGAGTTGTGAAAGAATGTGTTCCTAATTCTATCCATACCGTAACCTGACTATCAAGGGATCTAACATATAAATATATGAATTAATAATTGATATTTATTAAATGGCCACAGGGTTCCTTCAAACTCTGAGTTTCCCTGGTGTATTTAAATTTTTCAGGAGGCTGGAGCAAAGAAATTCTTAACTGTGATAAGTGGTAACATTAATATATTAATATTACAGTTTCAGAGATGCTTTAATAAGGCCACTGATAATATCAAGTGCTGTTGTGTGTACCAGGCATTCTCCTGAGCACTTCCACATACCATTTCATTTACTCCTCACACAGCCCTTTGAGGATAGTGTTATTACCTCTTATAGATGAGGAAACTTGAGACACACGTGTTTGTAATGCCAAAAATTGCCATTGCAGCAACAGGAAGTCTACCTCGAGTCCATGCTCTTAACAAATTATGCTGAACTACATTTCAACTAGTAAAACTTATTTTGATTTACAAAGTTTAGTTTACAAATGAACTTTTACCAACTTATGTGTGACCAGTGTGGTATAAAGAAGTAATAATGGGAAAGGCAAGTCATTTATTAATTACTGTTATTTGTGATGAGATCTAATTTTTATAATAAATATTGGATTAATTTGTACTTTCATATTATCATAGCATTTGTTTCAATTTCTTATGTCTAACCACCAGATCTTTTTAAGCAAGGCCATATCAGAACTGATAAAAAGTATAATTTTTCATAGAAACTTAATACTTATGTACTCCTTATTGTATGCTTATATGTGTGATATTTCATAATCTTGAATATAAACATGGCCACACTGTTGAATAGTTAAATATCTGTTCTACTTTTGTATTTTGTCACTATTAAATGATTTCTTTTAATTCTTGATATTTAAATTTCATTAAAATATGCATATAAACTTGTCTTTGTACTTTCTGTGAAATTCATCAGTTTGGAATGCTTTAAGATACACACTGGTTTATAAATACAAGAATAATGAACATTTTCAAATTGTAATATAGAATTGGTCATAATCTTTCCTGAAAGTTAGAAAATGTGTAAAAGTTGATTGAGAACATAAAAGCACTGTGAAGCTGAAGGTTGTTTATACCTTTTTTCCCTTTTAGAAATGAAATAAGGTAATGTTTAAATTGTTCGATCCAACTGAAGTACTTGCACTGAAAAAGCATATCATTTTATAAATGTGACAAAATACAGTTTTGAATTTGTATTTAAATATCTCTATCAAGTATTTCATGGAA